GATGTTGTGAATCTCTTAAGCCACTAATCAGCTTTCACCTTTTCCGGAAAGCCTAGTGTGCCCTCTATTATGAACACTTCTGTCTGTTTGCTGCTGTCTCCCTGGGTTCCTGAAACTCTAATTAAACTAGGGGCTTCCCCGTCCCGCCAGCAGCTGTAACCTATAACAAATGTCTGCCTTGTTGTCAGGGCGCTCCAGTTTGCCTGCCTTTCTGTAGGGGCTCTGGCAAGCTTTCCTTCTTCCATAGAGGCACCCTCTTAGTAAATGCCAAAGGACGCTTTTTGTTCGTTACTAGCAACTGCTGAAGAATTTAACCCTCAGCAACATCTTGATCAAATAGAATCAAGAGGTCGCCTGCCAGCTTTGCACCTCCAAAGCGTGTTGTCCTTGCTGCTTTACATTTTTACAAAAGAAATGGTAACTGTAGTAGCGCTGAACATGTGTAGTGTTGATTATCTGTAACCTCAGCTATCCAGGGCTCTGTGCTGAGATAAGAGGATCCTGAAGGCAGGAGAGCACGCTGTGTTCAAACGCTGGTGTCTGTCCTTTGGGCCCTTCCAGGCTTTAGTCAAAGGAGCTGAACTTCAGTGTGCTGGAACTGCAGTTCAGGCAGCTTCTGCTGCGGAATGTATAACTGAGGAGCTGCAGATGTGAAGGGCTTGGTTGATAGGACTTCTGTGCTGGTGTCAGGTCTCTGATCCACTACAGACTCTGGGATGTGTTCGCTGTACAAATTATGGTTGAAAACAATCCCAGCTGCCTAAATGCGGCGCGAATCTCTGCTCCAGGACTTGGCTAGAAAACTGGGTTTCCTGTAATAGTGGGAAAGTAGCGAGCAATAGGGGCAAACATGGCAGTTTCTTTTGCTGATAACTCCGTAAACTAATCTTTGCAGGGCAATCGGGTACTGTTAATAGTATATCGCAACACAAACAGCTATAGGAATCTGGCAACCTGTGCTGGTCTCAGTCCTGCAAAACGAGTTGCTCTTTCTAGCAATAGTCTGACTCTGTAAGGAAAGATCAAAGTGCTCGTTAAGGAAACGGTAACTCAAGGACTAGTTGTAATTTCTTGTGGTTAACTCCTGACAGCCTTGGAGACGGTTGTTCCCTTCTTGCACCGTTTTGGTTCGTGTAGGTAGGTCTTGAAATAAGTAGGACCCAACCTCCCCAAAAATGGCAGTGAGCCAGGCTGCTTTAGGTCGATCCTGTGATCCTCCACATGCACGCTTGGATTCTCTCTCTGAGAGTATCCTGGCACAAGTTTTGTCAGAGATTCCAGGTTATCTGAGCTGTTCGGAGTCGGATTTTACGGTGTGTATGGAAGACCTGGAGTAGTGTAGCGCTCTGGATGTGGTGCACAGTGCAGGGGTTTAGAGATACATTCCGTAAACCAGCCTTTGTTCCTCTGGAGATCCTTTGCCTTTGAGGATCTTAACAACAATTGCAGCTGAAGTGGGAAGTAACTTAGCTTTTCGCATTTCCATTCTGGGGTGAAGAGACCCCTGAAAGTAAAGCTTTAAGCGTGGGCGTGACAGAGCCACAGTATAAGGTAGATATCAATAAAGCAAGCATCACATCCCTCGTCCAATGATCTAACCTTTAGGTTAGCTGCTTCTTGCTCAGCACTTCGAAAACACCACGAGTACCAGTTGACAGCATTCCCGTTGCCTTTGCTCATCGGCTCTCAATGAGAGAGTAGCACTAGCAAGGACATAAAACAAGTTTAATGACTTGCATGGGTTAAATTCCCTTCAGTATTGCCGGAACTCATGCCCAGTTTGCTCTCTACAGCGTCTTTTTCAGAGAGAGTGCGGAACATGTCTCCAGATGAGATCAAAATCCCTCCTGAGCCTCCTGGCAGATGTTCGAACCACTTACAGGTTGGTAGAAGTCCACCTTTTAAAAAAAAAAACAACAAACAACCAAACCAAAAAACCCCACCACGCTTGGAATTCTGTAGGGAGGGGGGATATTTGGGAACTCTGCTCAGTATTTTTGCACAAGTCAAAACTCCAGCGTTAAAGCTGGCTCTTTACCACACTGAGTTTATGAACGCACTGTGTTAATGGTTTATTTTACAGCAATTCTAGTTTAGGAATCTCAAAGTAGCTTTAAAGCTGTTTTCTAGTCTCTCTGGGTCACTTATGCTTTAAAATGGCCCTTGATCCCACCAGTGACACAGAAGCAATGTTTATTGTGAAGGCTGCTATCCTCTTATCTCAGCGAATTCATCTCCATAGGAAAGAACACATCATTGTTTTTCTATACAGGCCTGAGAATCCCCTAACTGGAATGGTTGAGGCAGCATTGACTGGATTCCTTTTCCACCTACGTATCTCTAGATGATAAACATTTGGAGGGAAGGCTAGTAACTTAGAGGCAGCAAAAGAAAACAAATGCATGTTTTCTCTGGTGCACACCCAAATAATTGCAGTAACCAACCTCGCAGTCACCTTCTGCTCCGTTCCCCTCCTCCTGATGGAGGGCGAATGAAAGAGCAGGGGCCGCTGTTTCCTACCACCCAATTGAGTTTGAACTGCAGTTGTCTGCCCAGGAGAAATACAAGTAAAGAATCACTTCTGGAATGCTCTATGAAGTAAGCTGCTAATGTGCAATGGTGATTCAGAATGATTCACCATCCAGAGCAGCTTTCTTCTTCTTGACACGGTGTACCTGGGCACGCCCGTTCCTCCTTTTGTGCTGTAGGAGGATTTTACTGCTCTGACATCAATGAATTAGAGTATGTTAGATCTGAGGAATGCACAGAGCTCGAGAGAGTAGACAGAATAAAGCAGATTTTCTTCCCCTTTGACAGCAGTTTACGATGTTAAATCAAAGGAGAACTTGTCCTCTGTTAGTAGGTCAAACCACATGTTAGAGCACTTTGAGCAAGGAGATGGGATTGTTCTTTAGAGATGCAAAATGTTCTAGGCTTTTCACTGTTGATCTGCTCTTTCCTTTTGTCAAATTCTTCCTCTAATAAACTGTATCTTGAACTCTGCCAAAGGGAGTATTTCTTATTATAAATTTGACTGAGTAGTTCCCCATCTGTGGACTTTGTGAAGCATATTGCTGCCTCCACAGGGAGGGGACAAAAAGGAACACCTTTTCAATCATTTCTACTCCCCAAATTCACCTTTTTACAATTGTTCCTTTAAGCCTCACGATACGCGTGCTGGATGTGAAGCTTGTGTAATTTCTTCGTGCTAATTTTGTGAGGATCTGATGAAAATTTAGCATATAAAGCTTTTTTTAAGGTGGATGAAATAGGAGTTTCATGTCGGCTCTTAACAATTGTCTTTTATTCAGACATCAGCAGACCCTTAGACAATAGTCAGTTCTGTGTTCAAGATGACTGCTTGTACGGAGGGAGGCATGAATTGACTTATCCAGACGCAACAAAGGAAAATTGACTCGAGTTTCCCATCCTGACAGCCTGGAGGCCTAGCCTCTGGTCTTATTTTATATGCCTCTTGTACATGAGAAATTTGTGTCCAAAAGAAAAGATGAAGGAAATTGCTGAGAATGTTCTCCTAGTAGTAAAGTTTGTTCCATCTGAAGGTTCCTGCTTTGCTATCCTTTCAGCATCAGCAGAGTAAAAATACTTTTAAGGTCTTTCACCATCTTGCTGAGGAAAGAAAAAAAAATGTATGTTTTTAGTCTTTCAACAGTCTTTTTGGAGAGTAGACTGCTTGACACTTCCAGCCTGAGTCAGTTAAGTTGCCTTCTGCAGGGGCTTGTGGTTCAGTAAGACACTCATAGACTGCGTAACTATGAGTGATCTGCAAAGAGAAGCTGAAGCCACTTGTGCCCAGGCAGGGATTTACAGGCGCCTTGTTCCTGAGAGCGCTTGGCTGCCGGTACACACCACCAGCAATACCTGACGGTCACACTGGGGTTGGTTCTCCAGCAGAACTGGCTCTGCTCCTCCGTTACCCAGGCACAGCCGAGCCTTGCCTTCTGCCCAGTGTAGCCCAGCAGCTGTTTTTCAGGTGCATGCCTGAGTCTGAAGGTGGGTGTGATGGTCACTGGAAGTTGTGGGAGAACCTTTGTGGAGTTCACCTGTCCCACTGAGGTGGCTTCTGCTTCTCTACAGTCATAGCTGTAAAGGGCATCCACAGACTGGGAAGGAGGAGTGTGCAGTACTGCCTCAAATGCAAATCCTTAATCACTGAAGCCTTCGGAAGGGGCAAACATCAGTTCCCTTACCCATCCCAACAGTTCATGGAGATACTTTCAGACCTTACAGGGGGGAGTGTCTGTACTAATCAGCCTGCCTGGCCCTAGGGGAGAGGTGGAATCCTCTGTGCAAGGAGGTCACTGGTTCAATTGGCTTGTTTCCACATGTACACTTTTGATAGTCAGCTGGTGTGCTCCTCCTTTTCGTACTGTCTCACCTGGTAATCTTTCTGCCTTAGGATAAAATTCAAAAGCTGTATGAGAGGAAAATAAAAGAGGGCATGGATATGAACTACATCATTCAGAGGAAAAAGGAGTTCCGCAACCCCAGGTGAGCCACCATCTCTTCCTGTGTGACCAAAGCACCGCGGAGCAAATGCCAAGAATTTTCCTCTTTGTGGCAGTTGTAGCAGAAAGAGGATCCTGAGCAGGAAGTACTACTGCTTACAAAAATGAGAAGGACATAATTTGGTTGTAACTGAAACAGTAAAACTCTTCTTTGTGTTCTGTGAGGCAACAACTAGAGTTGATGTGTTGGCTAGATTTTAAATATACAGGCTTTGGATGAGGTGTTTTAGATGTGTCTGTTCTGGGAGCTGGGAGATTAATTTGGGGGGAGCGGGAAATAACGTGGTTAATGGCATGTCACATCCGTCATGGCAAGTGTGGCTTCCCAGGTTCTGATTTTACTCTCGCAGTGTAAGGTGACCCTCAGAGGTGACAAATCTGAAATGCTTCTGTTGGCTTCTAGCTCACCGGCTCTGTTCTGAACTCTTGTCTTTCCTTTGCAGCATCTATGAAAAGCTGATCCAGTTTTGTTCTATTGATGAACTCGGTACAAATTACCCGAAGGTGAGGTGCGATACTTTTGACTGGGGAGGGAGTGGGTAAAAGGCAATATAGGGGTGTTAGGTCTTACCTCAGGCCTTCTTGAGCCTGCTTGTTTAGAGATGCTTTAAGGGAACTTTAGTCTGATCCTCTGCATTGAGGTGAACATTTTTGTGTGGTATTGAGCCTCTGTGCCTCCTTTGCCATCATGATTCTGAACAAAAACTGCTGAGGTGTTTAGATAGACGTGAAACTCCTTGCGGGCGGATAGAAGCTGAGCGGCAGAAAAACGCACATCCTACCCCAGCATCCTTTTGGCTTCAAAGCTGTTCCTTCATTCACCACAGAACGTGGTCCTAGAAGGTCTGATGTGATCTTTGTGTCACTGGGGTGCAAGAAGTGATGAATCTCATCAGTGAACAGAAACACATAAAACGTTTTTGAACTGGGTTTTGTGTATATGTGGAAATAGCCCTAATCTGACATACTTTTCTTTTTTTCCTTTAGGACATGTTTGATCCTCATGGCTGGTCAGAAGATTCATATTATGAGGCACTAGGTAATTCCAGGAAGCCTTTTTTCCTTCTTCTTTTTTTTTTTTTCCTGACTTAGCTCTTTGTGTTGTGCTGTTAATTAACTGCACTAGAGTCTTCCCTGCCTTTATAAATGAGAAGTCATCACATGCTGCTCTTCTAACTACTTCATTCTGGTTGGATGTGCCTGAATGTTATTGATGCTTCATCAGTCTGGAAAGCCTTTTCACTTACATTGGTGGTTCTTTGTTTTCATCTCTTAAATCACTAATTTAGTGCAGTAATGCTTTGATTAAAAAGCAGTAGTTTGTTTCATGGCAGTTTAGTGTTCTATACACAATTTGAAGGTTTTGATTGTTTATGATGGGAAGTGTGTAAGTGAGGTAGAACTATGGATTTTTACTGTCCCTAGTGCTTCTTGTAACTTCTGATCTTTCTCAGCTAAAGCCCAGAAGATAGAAATGGACAAATTGGAGAAGGCCAAGAAGGAACGCACAAAGGTAGCTATTCAAGACCAAGAGAGATGGAAATACAGGGGTGGTGTTTGCTTCCCTGCTGAATTTCATTTTGTGGCTTTGCTGTTTCTTATGAACTGTGCCTGTGCTAGTTCTGTTTGGTTTTCCCTGGTTCTGTCCTTTCTTCTTGCATGTCTGTTTCCAAGCTGCAGAGATCAAGTTGTTTGCCCTTCCTTATAGGTCCATTTCTCTAAATTCTTTATTCCACTGGGTTTCCCTCTGTTTTGTCAGTATTTTTAAACCAGAGCTCTTAAAAGGGTATTCAGTAAGCCCCATACACACAAGGTAATGCATAAAGAACAGCTTTTTTTCTTAACCTATGACGTTTTGCCTAGTGGCGTAGCCTAGTTATAGCTTAATTTCCTCACCGTATCTCGTTGTGAAACAATATCTACTTTCTGTTCTCCTTCTCTTCTTGCATCCAATTTCCCGAAATGTTTGGCCTATTTTACCTTTAACTGGGCTTGTCGCAAAACGTACATTCTTCTGTACCCCCCAAAAAGAACAGACAGGCTTTGGAAGATTTTATTCCTGCCTGTCAGTGGTGTTGCCTTTAAGCTAGTGGCTGCCATTAGAAGCTGTCTGCCGTTAGAGATTGCCATCTAACCTTGCAGAAATCTCCTTCCATATTCGGTGTGTGGAGGTATTTTTTTTTTCTTGCAGTGCGTGCTGTGTCTTGCTACTTGTTTTGGTTTTTGCTCAGTAACCCAGGTATCTGATTACGTCCTTGCCCGTATCTGCAGTTTTGAAAACAGGAGACTGCATGCTGTTGTAGCCCTTGTTGCTAGGTTTCCTGCTATGATGCAGTCGCAGTAAATCCTGCAGGTAGGGACTTGTCTTGCATGTTTCTTAAAGGAAAAAAGAACAGGAACCTCTAACTGTATGAACACATTCTTTAATGACAGGATGTCTCCTTTCTGAGCTGTGTCAGATTCCTATGCTTATACCAGTTAGCAAGCACATTTTTATTGTATCTGACTTAGGAGCTGGGTTGCAGGAATCCTTAATGATCGTGACTTCAGTACGCTTTGGCCTGAGGTCTGCATCTTTCTTCCTGCATGACAAGTCAGCTCAGAGGCCAGCGTCTTACATGACATTAAAGCTGGTTTTTAAAAACATAGAGAAGCGAGGCGGGGTAAAAAAAGACTATATATATTAACATTTCATTTTTATCTTCTCTGTCTGCTGCCTGTCTCTCCCTTCCCAGATCGAGTTTGTGACTGGCACTAAAAAGGGTACAACAACAAGTGCCGCTTCTACAACCACCACAACGGCCAGTACCACCGTGGGAGGTAAAGAACAGTTGTGATTGTACCTGTCAGCTGCAGTAATGCTGGGATTAGTGCTTTCTGGAGACCCTGAAGGCTCCTTGTTGATTGTGTGTCTAATGTGTATACAGTGGTCCTTCCAAGATGTGACAGACTAGCTTTTCTCTGATCCCTGTGTCCCGTGGCTGCCGTTCTGTAAGGAAAGCTTAGGAAACAGGTTGAATAGTGAAGAGGTTTATTAGCAGGTCAAGAAACCTGCTGATGTTTATGGTTGTAGAATGTTCTTGGGACTGATGCATCTCAAGAGATTTGGAAGGACTGAAAATCATTCTTGCCTTCCTTTTAAACTGGGAGGAAGGGAGAAAAGACACTGGAGGCTGGTGGCTGTGTCCTGTACCTGTACCAGAGCAACTGAGATCAGTGTGCTCTGTTAAAATTAAATAGGCTTTGGGGCAGGGAGTGACCCTCTCTCCCACTTGGCTGGAGTTCAGCTCTAGAGTTTTACTTTGTCTCTTGAGGTATAAAGTTGTCTTTCCTCCTCAACACTTACGGCCAGTGTACGCTGAAATTAATGTGAGGGGAGAGTTGTCTAGTTGAGCAGTGGTATAGGAAGAGTTGACAGGGTGTTACAAAGGGATTGGTGACCTCTAACGTGATGCTAATCCTCGTTTGCTTGATCTAATCAAATGCACAGATGCCCAGAAGAGGAAGAGCAAGTGGGACTCGGCCATCCCTGTAACGACGATAGCTCAGCCCACCATCCTCACCACTACTGCAACGCTGCCGGGCGTTGTCACAGTGACAACCAGCGCGAGTGGATCCAAAACGACAGTCATATCGGCTGTTGGCACCATTGTGAAAAAGGCAAAGCAGTGACTGCAGTGCTGGGCCTGGATTTTCGGACTTAATTGTCATTGAAGCCATTGTTCTTGGAAGGGAGGGGTAGCTTTTGCCTTTGGTAAACGATGACAAGATTCTTTGAAACAGACCACAGTTCCCATTTGAAAGAATGGGGGCAGGAGCAGGCATGCCAGCTGTGTGCCCACAGGAATGGACCTCTGCCGAAAATGCCTCTGCCTTTTCTCGCTGTGGGAAGAACCAGTCTCTGTGCGTTGTGCGGGAGGAAGGTGGTATCTGGAGTCGGCTTGTGAAAGTTAGCTCATGAAATTACTGCGCTAGGTTCTTCTTTCCTACTTGCAAGTCTGGTTCAGGGGAGAAAAAAACCAAGGCAAGTAGTGAAGGAATACCAGTGTTACCCTTGTGTATTCCAGGTCACGCTCGAAGGCTGCTAGCGGCTCGTGGTACGTACCTCCCTCCCGTGCACTCGCTCAGTCCCAGGGGAATTGAAGCAGAGACAATTGGCCAGTGTCCATCTTCAAATGTGTAGCAGAGACTTGAAGGGATCTGCATCTGTGAATGTGGACTGACTGTTAGAGTACTGACATCTGTACCCCTGTGCTTATCTGTGTAGATCTTAGTGACCACGTGTTAAACAGTTGAACTATTTGAGGAAACAAAACTATTTGCCGAAATAGTCTCGTTACCGTCTTGCAGGGGTGGCGATTTCTGTGGAACCTGTAAGCTGTAGAGGTCGGATTTGTGAACTCATTTGCAAAGACTTGTGCAGAGAAAACTCTTCCATTGCCATGGCAAGAGATCGGACAGCAGATAAGCAGAGGAGAGCGTCTGGTCTTACTTGTGGTATTGTCCATCTTTGTACTAGATAGTGATGTACTGTGAAGTGCACACATGGCAGTTACTGCTTGCTCCACTGTTGTGAAAAAGTATTTTCAATTGAAAATTTTATTGTATAAATCTTCTTACCTGTGTAGAAAAAAATTATTATAAAAATGGAAAAGTCTTTAAAAAAAAAACCCCAACTGGTGTCATTGATGTGTCTGCATTTCTCATCTTGGCGAGGGAGAATCACTACCCGTTTGTTGTGCTGTGGGTTACAGATACCATGAGGTATGTAATAATTCCCAGAAAGTGGGGGTGGCATGAAGGTTTTTTCACATTATGGATTTTTTTTTTTTAAATCTCTGACGGGGGGGAATAAAAGGGGGCATTAAACTGATTTTGAATGGAGATGCTTTTGTTGTAGAGGATGTTCTGAAATAGTTGGTAATTCAGCTGTTCTTAATGGTGGTTTTTTTCAAATGTATTCCTGCATCTTAAACTTCTTCAGAAGTTACCTTCTGGTCCTCATACCTGGGTCTTTCAAAAAACCTTCCTCTATAGAGGCCATTCTCCTAAAATGGAGCTCATCAGCAATGAAGTGGTTGGCTCATTGTTTTGAGGAAAATTGGGTAAATAACTTGAATGGTTCCATTTGTGTAGAGCAACAGCTGCTAACCTGGACTTTTTTTTCCTTTGCAGTGGTTGCTCCAGGTTATTTAAATGGCCTTTAGTTCTTAGATCATGATTTTTTCAGTTTTGGTAATTTTTCTGTTTCCCATTGTTTTTTTCCCCAAGTTAAATTTCTACCCAGAGCCTGTTTAGTGCATAAGCAGTGATAGGAGGGACAGTTACCAGATCAACGAAAGTGTCTTAGAATCTGGTGTTGCTTTTTCTGGTTTTTTTACATTCCTTATATCACTCCTGATCCGGACTTTGCATTTATGGAGGCTTAAGGAAGAAATAAGAGGTTGGTTTCCTGCTTTTAAATAATTTTAAGAAGTGTTAAAACACTTCATCCTGGCAGTCATTTTAGCTTTAAAAAAAAGCGTCTGTGTATCCAGGAATGCTGATGGGGGAGAAACCAGGGGACTGATGAGACTGTAGCATGGGAAGTCGGGGAGATGGTGGAATTGCTCTTCTTAAAGCAGTAAAATATTGAAAGGCATGGAAATGGTGAGATGGAAACATCTCTCTTAAATTACTTTGCATTGAGCTGTTGACGGTTCCTGCAAGCTTGTAACATGTCTTAACTCCACCCTCATCCCATGGAAGGTGGTGACAGCTCCCAGTCTTCTATTTTGGGATTGTAACGTGCTCTGCAGAGGACGACATGTTTCACCTCAACTGGTCAAGCTGTTTAATTCCTTGCCTTGGGGAACAGTTTTCGGGGGTTTCCTTTAAAGGCCAAGGATGCACTTGTGGTGGGAAATACAAGCCATTAGATAGTTTTGCATCTCCATAAGGTGATTTTCCTGTCTAGAATGTCTTGTACAATTCCACCCTGTTTGAAAA